AAACGTCAACATAGACGACGGCGACAACAACATGATATGATCACAATATTATTATTATTATTATTTTTGTTGTTGTTACTGTTGGTTTCTTCAGACAATAGAGAAATACTCAATGAATGTCATAAATTTTGAAGCAGGCCTAAAGCAACTTGCAGCAACAACTAGTAAGTACATGACAACAATAACAATAATAACAATAAAAACAACAAACACATAATATTTGCAATAAATGCAACAAATGTTGCACACTTTTTGTTAAATAAAAAACTTAACTACAGAAAAAATATATAAAACAACATAGAAGTAAATATTAGACAATATACAATACGAACAGCAACAATAATAATAATAATAATAAGACTAAGAAGTCTGAAGAGAATATAGCAAGTATTTTACACCATTTCCAAAAACTAAGATAAAAATTAATCCTTTCTTCTTTCCCAATATTTATGATTTCAACATTAATACAAAATTTGTCATTTATTGTATTTCAATATGAAAAATTGAAGTTAAATTTTAGTTAAGTTTTTGTTTTTAACTAGAAATGGTGTAAATTACTTAAAATACTAATACAATAACACATTTAAACGCCTTTTCTATGTTATGTTTTAAATTTTCTTGCTTCTTATTACTATTATTATTATTGTTGCTGTTGTTGCCGTTAGAGTTTTCTTAAATTCTATATGTTTTTAGACAGACATCTTGGTGGGAGATTGGAGAATCAAGTTAAGCAATAATAGGTAACAAAATATACCAGCATCTTTATAACCAAATCTTAGAAAAGCAAAACTAGTAGCAGTTTAAAAATAATAAAAAAAAAAAACTAATATAATATTAAGAATTAGAAGTAAGCAACGCCAAACAAATGAACAAATTATAGACAGTTTTTAACCACAAAATTATAAAATATAATAATTATGAAATAGTTTCTAGTGATGTGATTATGGTTAACAAAGTTGACAGACTAGAACAAAAAATATTTCGAAATTTGAAAGATATCGCATTTCAAACTAACTACTACTAACTAACTAACACTAACTAACTAACTACTACTAACTAACTACTAACTAACTAACTAACTAACTAACTAACTAACTAACTACTAACTAACTAACTAACTAACTAACTAACTAACTAACTAACTAACTACTAACTAACTAACTAACTAACTAACTAACTAACTAACTAACTAACTAACTAACTAACTAACTAACTAACTAACTAACTAACTAACTAACTAACTAACTAACTAACTAACTAACTAACTAACTAACTAACTAACTAACTAACTAACTAACTAACTACTAACTAACTAACTAACTAACTAACTAACTAACTAACTAACTAACTAACTAACTAACTAACTAACTAACTAACTAACTAACTAACTAACTAACTAACTAACTAACTAACTAACTAACTAACTAACTAACTAACTAACTAACTAACTAACTAACTAACTAACTAACTAACTAACTAACTAACTAACTAACTAACTAACTAACTAACTACTAACTAACTAACTAACTAACTAACTAACTAACTAACTACTAACTAACTAACTAACTAACTAACTAACTAACTAACTAACTAACTAACTAACTAACTAACTAACTAACTAACTAACTAACTAACTAACTAACTAACTAACTACTAACTAACTAACTAACTAACTAACTAACTACTAACTAACTAACTAACTAACTAACTAACTAACTAACTAACTAACTAACTAACTAACTAACTAACTAACTACTAACTAACTAACTAACTAACTAACTAACTAACTAACTAACTAACTAACTAACTAACTAACTAACTAACTAACTAACTAACTAACTAACTAACTAACTAACTAACTAACTAACTAACTAACTAACTAACTAACTAACTAACTAACTAACTAACTAACTAACTAACTAACTAACTAACTAACTAACTAACTAACTAACTAACTAACTAACTAACTAACTAACTAACTAACTAACTAACTAACTAACTAACTAACTAACTAACTAACTAACTAACTAACTACTAACTAACTAACTAACTAACTAACTAACTAACTAACTAACTAACTAACTAACTAACTAACTAACTAACTAACTAACTAACTAACTAACTAACTAACTAACTAACTAACTAACTAACTAACTAACTAACTAACTAACTAACTAACTAACTAACTAACTAACTAACTAACTAACTAACTAACTAACTAACTAACTAACTAACTAACTAACTAACTAACTAACTAACTAACTAACTAACTAACTAACTAACTAACTAACTAACTAACTAACTACTAACTAACTAACTAACTAACTAACTAACTAACTAACTAACTAACTAACTAACTAACTAACTAACTAACTAACTAACTAACTACTAACTAACTAACTAACTAACTAACTAACTAACTAACTAACTAACTAACTAACTAACTAACTAACTACTAACTAACTAACTAACTAACTAACTAACTAACTAACTAACTAACTAACTACTAACTAACTAACTAACTAACTAACTAACTAACTAACTAACTAACTAACTAACTAACTAACTAACTAACTAACTAACTAACTAACTAACTAACTAACTAACTAACTAACTAACTAACTAACTAACTAACTAACTAACTAACTAACTAACTAACTAACTAACTAACTAACTAACTAACTAACTAACTAACTACTAACTAACTAACTAACTAACTAACTAACTAACTAACTAACTAACTAACTAACTAACTAACTAACTAACTAACTAACTAACTAACTAACTAACTAACTAACTAACTACTAACTAACTAACTAACTAACTAACTAACTAACTAACTAACTAACTAACTACTAACTAACTAACTAACTAACTAACTAACTAACTAACTAACTAACTAACTAACTAACTAACTAACTAACTAACTAACTAACTAACTAACTAACTAACTAACTAACTAACTACTAACTAACTAACTAACTAACTAACTAACTAACTAACTAACTAACTAACTAACTAACTAACTAACTAACTAACTAACTAACTAACTAACTAACTAACTAACTAACTAACTAACTACTAACTAACTAACTAACTAACTAACTAACTAACTAACTAACTAACTAACTAACTAACTAACTAACTAACTAACTAACTAACTACTAACTAACTAACTAACTAACTAACTAACTAACTAACTAACTAACTAACTAACTAACTAACTAACTAACTACCTTAACTAACTAACTACTAACTAACTAACTAACTACTAACTAACTAACTAACTAACTAACTAACTAACTAACTAACTAACTAACTAACTAACTACTAACTAACTAACTAACTAACTACTACTACTAACTAACTAACTAACTAACTAACTAACTAACTAACTAACTACTAACTAACTACTAACTAACTAACTAACTAACTAACTACTAACTACTAACTAACTACTAACTAACTAACTAACTAACTAACTAACTAACTAACTAACTAACTAACTAACTACTAACTAACTAACTAACTAACTAACTAACTAACTAACTAACTAACTAACTAACTAACTAACTAACTAACTAACTAACTACTACTACTAACTAACTAACTAACTAACTAACTAACTAACTAACTAACTAACTAACTACTAACTAACTAACTAACTAACTAACTAACTAACTAACTAACTAACTAACTAACTAACTAACTAACTAACTAACTAACTAACTAACTAACTACTAACTACTAACTAACTAACTAACTAACTAACTAACTAACTAACTAACTAACTAACTAACTACTAACTAACTAACTAACTAACTAACGAACTAACTAACTAACTAACTAACAACTAACTACTAACTAACTAACTAACTAACTAACTAACTAACTAACTAACTAACTACTAACTAATAACTAACTAACTACGACTAACTACTAACTAACTACTAACTAACTAACTAACTAACTAACTACTAACTAACTAACTAACTAACTAACTAACTAGATTAAGTAACTTAACTAACTACTATGTATGTATTCAGAAAAATGATCGATTTTAAACTTTTATACCGACAAGTGATTCATGTTTAAACTTACAACTGATCGCTACTTTCCGCTCAATTCACCGGTTCTTGTCTTGACTAGTAAGTGTTCAAAGTATACAAGACAAGAACCATCAAATATATAGGAAATTTAGTAAAATTAACCGAAATTAACCCAAACTTTTGTTCAGAATTTTTAATGAAATATTGGACCTAGCCTATATTTTGAAATCTTTTTCGGATTCAGTATAAGTTTTAATCTTAAATGTAAAATTTCAGCAGTTCTCTTCTTTAAAATACCGAAATAATAGCACAGATTGTTCATAATAAACTGCTAGTCGAATCTTGCTGGAAACTCAAATTTCTAGTAAATCCCCATGCTGAATCCGAAAATGGACTCAAACTGGACCTGGGATCAATAATTCATCAAAATTCCGGACAATTTTTTTATGTTGAGCAATTTGTGATATTATCTCGGTATCTTGAGGCCAAAATTGACTGAAATTTTATATTCAAAATCCAAAACTTATGCTAAATCCGAAAAATGAATTCAGATTTGAGGTGAGTCCAATATATCATCTAAAGTTCTGAGCAAAAATTTCAGAACAATTTTCCCACGAAATGTTATTTCAATCCAGCGGTTCTAGTCTAGGCTAGTAAGCAGTTTTGCCAGGTTAGCGGATTTTTTGCGGGAAAAATAACGAGAAAAGAAGATTGAAATTAAAGAAATTAGAAACTGTTACATCATTGGCTCAGAATCATTCCCTAAGTCGATTAAGTATGTCTGTCCTTGTAATTAAACTACAAATCTCAATTTCAAAGACAGTTATATAGCAAAGAGGGATCCTTTCACACATTTGCATTTTAAGAGATCAGTTACTACTATTAGTCTATTAGTAATTTAGTTAAAATTTAAATTTTGTTGTTGTAATATTAATTAAAAAATATATTTACCATTTAACAAATTTGTTGCAATTTCTTTAGTAACACTTTCAAAACCAAACGTTGATCTGAATCTGAAAATAAAAAGAAATTTAAATTTTTAATTATTAAAAAAAAACACAATTTTTAAAAAGAATTTAACTTAAGAAAACAAAAGACTTAGAAAACAAACCTGTTATTATAAGTAAACAATCAACAAGTATGTGACTTAAGTCTTTTGTTTTAGTGGTAGAAAATCGTTAAATTTATTATATTTCAATTCACAAATTGATTTGTTTTTTTTTAATTATCAACTTAAAGAGATTTTAATAACCGATTTTTATGAGCAAAAGTTTTTTTTATGATAAAGCAAAAAAGTTATATTCAAACATTTCATTAACGTTTTGTTCATTATAAAGATCTCTACACTAAATCATTTGGTGTACGTTTTTCAGTTGTACAACCTCATGTAATTGAATCATGTACTCAGCTATTTTATTAAACATTAAAAAGGTTTTGTAAATAGAGTCATCATTTTAAAACCACATTTTAATTATACCTTAACCTCTTTTGTTTTAGAAAAACCCAATAAAAAACACACCAAAAAAGTTGGGTGTATTAAACAAAAAAACAATAAATTTATAAATATTTTATAAGATAAATCTTTTGAAACTAAATTAATATTTTTTTTGCAAAATAAATTTTAATTATATTGTATGAATGAGTACATACTATTTGCATTTACATTTGATTTAAGATTTATATCCATGGTTAAGTATATAGTTTTTTTTTTTGGAATTTATGGACACTCCTTTTAAACCACAAAAAATAATATGGTCAAATGTTTGGGTTTGAATGATATATAAAGTAATATAAAATATCTATATACATATTCTTAATATTTCAATTGTAATATTACCTACCGCATTGTGGTAATATTTTATTTGCCAAAATTACTTATCTCTCCCTCACATAAGTAAAACAAAAGATTTTAACTTGCATTTTTTATATGTTTGAGTTATGGGGTTTCTCATTTATATACAAAAATAGAAAAGTTTAATAAAACCTTGACAATATTTATATTTGTTTATAATGAAATGTCATCGTTAGGTATTGTAGCAGAACACTTTTAAAGTACAAAAAAAAAAAAATAGCAAAGAAAATGAGTAACGATTTTTTATATTTGTATAGAAAACAAAAGAGTTTTTGCATTTAACCTTTAATTTAAAGATTTATTTGTTGGTTGAGCAAAAAAAAAAAAAAATACTCAATGAGTTGTAAAATTTTGCTTTTCACTGTATTTTTAAACAATTTTTATTATTTTTGTAATTTGTTAAAGTTTTTTTCTTTCAGAAAACTGATCACTGTTAAAATTTCCTCTTAATAACTGATTGCTAATAAAGTTTTCTATAGAATACTGTATACTGATCGCCTTTCAAATTTTCTATAGCAAGAAGATCGCTATAAAAAACTGCTCAATATTAAAGATTTATATAGAAATCTAATCGCTTTTAAAATTTTGAATTGAAAACAGATCGCCACTAATGTTTTCTATATAAAACTGAACACTGTTACAGTTTTCTGTAGAAAACTGATCGCAATTAAAGTTTTCTATAGAAAACTGATCACTATAAACGTTGTATGTATATAGAAAATTGCTATTAAAGTTTTCTATAGAACGCTCCTAAAATTTTCTATAGAAAACGGATCGTCGTTAAAGTTTCCTATGGAAAACTGATTGTTGTTCAAGTTTTCCGATAGTTTTTAAAGTCTTTTATAGAAGAATGATCGCTGTTAATTCTGAGTCTTCTATGGAACAGTGATCGCTCTTTATGTTTTTTAATAGAAAAGTGACCGCAATTCAAGTTTTCTGATCGTTGTTAAAAGTTCACTTCAGAAAATCACTTTTCTATTTACAACTGATCGCTAATAAAGTTTTCTATAGAATACTGTTACTGATTGTATACTTCTCGCTGTTCAAGTTTTCCTTAGGAAAAACTGCTCAATTTTAAATATTTATATAGAAAACTGATCGCTTATAAAATATTCTATTTGCCGCCAATGTTTTCTAACTGATCACCAAATCATCATCAAATTTTCTATAGAAAACTGATCACTGTTAAAGTTTTCTATAGACAACTGTTCGCTATTCAAGTTTCCTATAGAAACCTGATCGCTGTTCAAGTTTTTTGAACGTTTTTAAAGTATTTTATACAAAAGTGATCGCTGTTAAATCTAAGTTTTCTATAGAAACCTGATCGCCCATAAAGTTTTCTTTAAAAACTTATCAATGATAAAGTGTTCTGGTGTAAATTAATCTATTGAAAATAGCTCGCCTTTAATGGTTTTTATAAAAAACTGATCACTGTTTTCTGGTGTAAATGGATCGCCGGTTATGTTTTCTGTATAAAACTGATCTCCGTCAAACTTTTCTATAGAAAACTAATCGGTGTTAAAGTTTTCTATAGACAACTGTTCGCTATACAGGTTATCTATACACTGATCACTGTTCAAGTTTTGTGATCGTTTTTATAGTATTTTACAAAAAAGTGATCGCTGTTAAATTTGAGTCTTTTATGAAAAAGTGATCGCCCTTAAAGTTTTCTATAAAAAGTGATCACTGTTAAAGTATTCGAGTGTAAATGGATCGCAACTTATACTTTTTGTGGAAAACTGATCGCTATTAAACGATCACTGTTTAATGTTTGATCACTGTTTAATGTTTTCTATAGAAAAGTGATCGCTGTTTCAATATTCTATAGAAAACTAATCGCCGTTAAAGTTTTCTATGAAAAACTGATCGCCGTTAAAGTTTTCTATACAAACCTGATCGCTGTTCAAGTTTTCCGATCGTTTTTATAGTATTTTATTGAAAAGTTATCGCTGTAAAATCTGAGTCTTCTATGGAAAAGTGATCGTTCTTAAAGTTTTAAATGTTCGAGTGTAAATTGATCGCAACTAATATTTTTGTGGAAAACTGGTCGATTTTAAGGTCGCTGTGAAAGTTTTTTTTTATAGAAAACTATTCGATTTTAAAGTTTTCTATATAGAATATATATATTTCTCTATAGAAAAGTAATCGATGTTTAAATTTTCTATAGAAAACTGATGGCCGTTAAAGTTTTGTATGAAAAACTGATCGCCGTTTATGTTTTCTATGAAAAACTGATCGCCGTTTAAGTTCTCTTTAGAAAACTGATTGATATTCAAGTTATCTGAACGTTGTTAAAGTCTTCTATACTACCGATTACTGTTAAAGTTTTCTGGTGTAAATTGATCGCCGTTAATGTTTTCTGTAGAAAACTGATCGGTGTTAAAGTTTTCTATACAAACCTGATCGTTGTTAAGTTTTCCGATCTTTTTTAAAGTGTTCTAGTGTAAATTGATCGCAACTAACATTTTATGTGAAAACTGATCGCTTTTAAGGTTTTCTATAGAAAACTAATCGCTGTGAAAGTTTTTTTTTATAGAAAACTATTCGATTTTAAAGTTTTCTATAGAAAAATGATCGCTGTTTAATGTTCTCTATAGAAAAGTAATCGATGTTTAAATTTTCTCTAGAAAACTGATGGCCGTTAAAGTTTTCTATGAAAAACTGATCGCCGTTTATGTTTTCTATGAAAAACTGATCGCCGTTAAAGTTTTCTACACAAACCTGATCGCTGTTCAAGTTTTCTGATCATTTTTATAGTATTTTATAGAAAAGTGATCGCTGTTAAAGTTTTCTATAAAAACTGATGACAGTTAAAGTGTTCGAGTGTAAATTGATCGCAACTAATATTTTCTGTGGAAAACTGATCGCTTTAAGGTTTTCTATAGAAATCTGATCGCCGTGAAAGTTTTTTTTATAGAAAACTATTCGATTTTAAAGTTTTCTATAGAAAAATGATCGCCGTTTAGTGTTACTTTCGATTACTTTTCTATAGAAAAGTAATTGATATTTAAATTTTCTCTAGAAAACTGATCGCCGTTAAAGTTTTCTATAAAAAAACTGATCGCCATTTAAGTTTTCTATGAAAATCACTTTATTTTCAAAACTTGGTATTATAATTTACCAAAAATTTTTGATTTTATTTATTAAATATAATAATTCTTAGTCTTTTTCTTAGAAATGTTACCAATATCGTGACTTGAACGTGTTTAAAAGACGTTTACTAAAAAAAAAAACAATTTATTTAACAAAAACAAAGACATTTTTCATATAAAGTGCCTTAAAACGGGGAGGTATGGTCACGTTTTTTAAATATTTATATATTATTTCATACTTTTATTTAATGCGATGATTTACTTTGATCGCATGCCATTAATATTTATTTATAGCTGATAATAAAAAAAAACTAAAATATTTAACAAAATTTTACTAAATAAAACGTAAAACTTAGAAAACAAACTTGTTATGCTATAAGTAAGTAAAAAAATAAACAAGTATGTAGCTTAAGTCTTTTGTTTTAGCAAGAAAATTCATTTGATATACAAATGGTGCTGTTGTTAAACTTTGGTGTTGAAAGTGTCAACTAAATTAGATTTTAATCTCATCACATTTTGTGTTTTTTTATTATTATTACTTTTTTATGATTGCATGTGTAATCTATTTATTTAAATATATTTATTACTCTGTAACATGTTTGGCATAATATCAAAATATTTTTTTGTTAATGTTTAAAAACATTCACACTTTATACCCCCATGTTTTAGCGCTTAAATGGTAAGAAAAGAAAAAAATACGCACACAAAACTAAATTTTCACTTTATTTTTCTCTTTTGTAATTGTTTTTGTTTATATGGTTTTTTCTTTAACTTAATTTGTTTATAATTTTATTTTTTTAAAAAATAATCACGTGTTTGTGGCAATTGTTGTGTATTATTCAAATGTTGCATAAGTGCAGACAAATAAATGTATGATGTGACTAGATGTGAGGTAAAGGGCGTTTTTTGGTAAGAAAAGACTTTTACTGATAGTTTTTAGCGATAAATAAATGAAAAGGAAATGTGAGTGTGTGTGTTTAGGTTGGTGCATTCACCAACCAATCGATTTTAAAATTCTTGTCACACATTTATCAATTACCTAATTTTAATTTGTTTAAGGTGATTGCATAAGGA